AGCTCTGAAGGCCCCACCTCCAAAGGCCCTCATGTTAGGGTTAGAGCAGTGGTTCTCAACCTTGGCTGCACATTAGAATCACCTGGGAATCTTTTTAAAATCCTGATTTCTGGGTCTCATGCTCCGGAAATTCTGTTTCTTTGTTACTAATGTTGAGGCCTCACCCCATAACAAACAAACAGAATTTCCAGAGGATGAGGCCCAGAAATCAGGATTTTAAAAAGATTCCCAGGTGATTCTCATGTGCAGCCAAGGTTGAGAACCACTGGGGTAGAGCTTCAACATATGGATGTGTGTGTGTGTATGCGCATCGGGGGGAGGGGGAGTGGCACAACGTTCAGTCCATAGCAGCAACTGACACTGTAGCTGGTCCATAAATCAGCAGTCATTCCTGTAACCCTAGAAAGAGGGGTGTTTGCCCCTTTTGCGGCTTTGACAAGTTCTTGCTTGTGTCTGAGACGTGACTGGAGTAGTCTTGTTCCACCACAGTCTGGTGTGACATCCTGTTGATATGGTTCACGTTCAATAGGAGAACAGCGGGGCTGGCTGTGGGTGTTGGCAGGGGCTGCGTTAGTCTTCCTGAAGGGGCAATTTTGTAAAGTAATGGAGTAAAATGTTAGGAGGTTGGAGAAGTCAAACAGGGATCAGGTCCCAGGCATCCTTAGGTTGTAACAAAATAATTGGTATAGCCCTAACCCAGCGGTTCTCAACCTGTGGGTCGCGACCCCTTTGGGGGTGGAACGACCCTTTCACAGGGGTCGCCTAAGACCATCAGAAAACACATATATAATTACATATTGTTTTTGTGATGAATCACTATGCTTTAATTATGTTCAATTTGAAACAATGAAAAGACATCCTGCATATCAGATATTTACGTGACGATTCATAACAGTAGCAAAATTGCAGTTATGAAGTAGCAACGAAAATAATTTTATGGTTGGGGGTCACCACAACATGAGGGACTGTATTAAAGGGTCACGGCATTAAGAAGGTTGAGAACCACTGCCCTAACCGGTTTGGCTCAGTGGATAGAGCATTAACCCGTGGACAGAAGGGTCACAGGTTCGATTCTGATCAGGGGCATGTACCTTGTTTGTGGGCTCCATCCCCAATAGGGAGCTTGCAGGAGGCAGCTGATCAATGTTTCTAACTCTCTATTCCTCTCCCTTCCTCTCTGTAAAACCAATAAAAAATATATATTTTTTACAATTGGTATTTACTTTTGGAAAAAAGAATACTTCACACTGAGTGTCAACATCTACCAGTAATTAGCAATTATAATTGATCACAAAGTAGGGAACTTGCAAATGTTTTCCTTTACTGGAAATTAGAGTGAACCAGGTTATTCTCCTACAGTCCTTGACTCACCTCCTCGCCTTGTAATAGTTGTTTTGAGGAGAAAATGTGAAGGCCCAGCCAGATTACATGACCCCCATGCTGATTACATGACCCCCCCCCAACCAAGACAAAGAAAAGATGTGACCTGAAAGGCCCCACATGCTATTGGCTGTGACTCCCCCAAAACCATATGTTGAAACCTAACCCTCATCCTATATAATAAAGATGTAATATGCAATTGGTCATTAGGGTTTCCGGGAAAGATGCGCAGCAAGCTATAAGCGGGTGGTGGAGAGCTACAGGAGGGGGCAGGGAAGCAAGCAATGAGGGGGGGGAGGGGGAGGGAGCGGGGGAGCTACAGGAGGACGGGGGCAGCAGGCAGAGAGCTACAGGAGGGGCTGCAGTGAGCTGCTGGCACACAGATTGGTGTGCAGGGCTACTAGTCTATAATAAACAGTGTAATATGCAAATCGACCAAATGGCTGAACAGCAGAACAATCATCCAGACGACCACTCTATGACATGCACTGGCACCAGACCAGCCAAGGCAGGTGGAATGCGATTGGTCGGGGGGCCGCCGTCGCCCCACAATCGCCCCGCAGAGGGAGGCCAAGGCCACTGGTCAGCAGGGCAATCAATCAGGGGGCTCTGTGATCGCCCCACAGAAGGAGGCCCAGGCCACCCTCTGTGGGGTGATCGATGGGGGGGCTCCACAGAACAGACCGGGCAACGAGGGGGGGGTGTCAGACTCAGGCAGCGCCAGGCCAAGGTGGGTGCTGGTGGGGGGTGGAGCCTCGAGGCAGCTGGGGCCCGGAGGCAGCCAGAGCTCTGAGGCAGCCAGGGCTGTGAAGACCTACCCTTGCACAAATTTAATGCATGAGGCCTCTAGTTGTTTTAATATTAGGAGGTAGGGCCTTTGGGAGGTGACTATGTCATGAGGGTGAAGCCTTCAAGAATGGTGACCCTGTACGAGCCGGTTTGGCTCAGTGGATAGAGCTTCAGCCTGGGGACTGAAGGGTCCCAGGTTTGACTCAGGTCAAGGGCACATGCCTGGGTTGTGGGCTCGATCCCCAGTAGGGGGTGTGCAAGAGGTGACGGATCAATGATTCCCATCATCGATGTTTCTCTCCTTCTCTCTTCCTCTCTGAAATCAATAAAAAATATATATTTTAAAAAGAATGGTGGCCCTGTTTAAGAGACCCCGCAGAGATCTTCTGCCCCCTCCACCAGGTGAGGACGGAATCTATGAAGCAGGGGGTGGGCTCTCACAGACACGAACCTGCCCACGCCTTAATCTCGGGCTTCCAGCCTCCGGGACTGAGAGAAATGAATGTTTGCTGGTTGAGCCACCCGGTCCGTGGTGTTCTGTGAGAGCAGCCCCGAGGTCCTCAGACACCACAGGGACACGTGGGGGCTGTTTTTTTAAGTAGACACATCACATGGTGAGCGCATCGGGTGGCTGTGGTTTTAGAACGATGCTTTGAGAGTGGGATGATACGGAAATGTTTTACATTTGGCGGCGGGTGGGCCTGCAGGGGGCCAAGTCAGGTGGTGGTGGTGACAGTGTCTGAGCTGAGAGGCTGCCCCTGGCAGAGACCCGGTCCCATCGAGGTGCAATAAAAGGGGCCCAGCCATCATTTGTAGGTGCAATGAGAATGAATGCAGCATTTTTGGAAGAGCAAAATTTGCAAACGTGTCCAGGCCTGGGAAAGTACTCCCTGCTGAGCTGCAACTCTCCAGGGCTGTGTTCCCCAGATCCTTGGGCCTGGGGTTCCCCCGGAGGGGGGGGGCGGGGGAGGCCAGGTGTCAATGTGTGTGGGTGACATGCAGCGCTCCCTGGGGACAGCACAGGACACCTTCCTGAGTTCACTGGGAAGAAGGGACTCCTCCATCCCCAGGCCCTTCCCGGACATTCATCCCAGCGTGGGGGTCTAGAGCAGTGGTTCTCAACCTTCCTAATGCCGCGACCCTTTAATACAGTTTCTCATGTTGTGGTGACCCCCAACCATAAAATTATTTCCGTTGCTACTTCATAACTGCAATTTTGCTACTGTGATGAATCATCATGTAGATATCTGATATGCAGGATGTCTTTCCATTGTTACAGATTGAACATAATGAAAGCCTAGGGATTCATCACAAAAACAATACGTAATTATATATGTGTTTTCCGAGGGTCTTAGGCAACCCCTGTGAAAGGGTCGTTCCACCCCCAAAGGGGTCGCGGCCTGCAGGTTGAGAACCGCTGGTCTAGAGGGGACACTTACGAACATGTTAGTACTTGGCTGTTTCTTTCTTTCTTTTTTTTTACCAATTTTTTTTTTTTTTTTACCAAACGTGGTCCCCTCGAGGCCAGACAGGGTGTCTGATTTGCCTGCATGTCGCCCGTATGGCGCGTGGCACCCGCCACACCCGAGGGCCCAGGGCGTGAGGTTGAGCGGACACACACAGTGTCCCTACACAACCCAAACAGACTCATTTGAAGAAGAGGAGCTGGGACAGGGAGACAACATGTCGGGGAGTCTATCCCACTCCTTTCACACCTCCCATGCCCTTTACGCGGCCTGCGCCTCCCTCCCACCCCCAGCCTCACCTCTGGGTGCAGGTGTCCTTGTCACAACAGGTGTTACGTCGGTGTCACCCGATGGCATGACAGAAGAAGAGGAGGAGATGGGAAGAGGACTCAGGTCTGGTGGGTGGGTGTTCCTGGGGGACCAGGGTCAGTGAGCCCCAACCCATGAAAGATGACGGGGTGCCCCTGAGACCAGCCTGCACTTGCCAGATTTAGCAAATACAAACATGCCTGGCTGCTGTGGCTCAGTGGTTGAGCGTTGACCTATAAACCAGGAGGTCATGGTTTGATTCCGGTCAAGGGCACATGCCCAGGTTGCAGGCTGGATCCCCAGTAGGGGGCGTGCAGGAGGCAGCCGATCAATGATTCTCCCTCATCATGCATGTTTCTGTCTCTCCCTCTCCCTTCCTCTCTGAGATCAATAAAAAATATATTTAAAAAACAGAAGGCCACCCACTTCAATTAGAATTTCAGACATAAACAACGTGTCATTTTAGTATAAGTATGTCCCAGGCAATGTTTGGGACATACTTATACTCAACAAAGGGATTCCTTGTTTATCTGAAAGTGAAATTCACTGGGCACCTTGAATGTTAGCTGCCAAGAAGGGCCCTGCTCCCCACCCCCATGAGCCTACCTTCCCCTGCACGCTGACCCCCCCCCCCCCAAGAAGGGCCCACTGTGAGCTTTCACTTCTGCTTGGGCAATGACCTGAGCCCAGCAGGGGAGCCCCCATCTTCCACCCACCCACAGCCAGGCCAGGCTCCGGGACTGGACACATGCCCCCCACGTCCTCCCACAGAGGTGACCCCGAGAAGGACCAGCTGAGCCAGCCCAGCACCAGGCCGCCGCCCGCCCACCAGGAAGCACAGACAGAGCGTCCAGTGGGCCAGATGGGGTGGCGAGTGGGGAGAAGGGGAGATCCCCGTGGGCTCAGAGGAGAAGCTCATTTCATGCATCAGTCCCCAAGGCCCCACTTCCGCCTGCCTGCCCCGGGGCTTCCTCTTCTGTCCCTGCCCGTCTCAGTCAGAGCGTCGCCGGGGGATGAGCCTGTCCAGGGGCCGGGCTCAGTGTCTCCGGGTCAGACATGCTCCTGCCACTGCTCTTCGGGGTGCTGTGGGGCGGTGAGGGGGCCGAGGGCTGGGGCCTCCAAAAGGCGCAGGATCCGGATAAAGAATACCGGCTGTCGGTGGAGAGTGTGGTGAAGGTACAGCGGGGCCTGTGTGTGTGGGTGCCCTGCTCCTTCTCCTACCCTCGGGAGGGCAACACCAAGGGTGACCCAGTTCTAGGCTACTGGTTCAGAGACGGAACCGATACCCTCAGAGGTTCTCCTGTGGCCACAAACGACCAGTCCCGGATGGTGTATTGGGGGGCCAGGGGCCGCTTCCAGCTCCTGGGCAGCCCCCGGGATGGCGGCTGCTCCTTGCTGCTCACCGAGGCCCGGATGGAAGACAGAGGGTTTTATTTCTTTCGGGTCGAGGGAGGCACCCTGCGATATAGCTTCATGAACAATAAGTTCTTTCTGGATGTGACAGGTATGGAGCTGGCTGGGAGGGGGTGGGAACTCCCCCTGCACCCTCCCCCTGCCTCGTGCTGGGAGGGCCGTGGGGCATGGGCCAGGGGGCGCTCCCTGAAGTGCCCGCTCTCCTCCCAGCCCCGACACAGGAGCCAGCCGTCTACGTCCCCGAGACCCTGGAGCCTGGGCGCCAGGCGACAGCCGTCTGTGCGTTTCAGTTTCACTCGGAACACTGTCCAGCCCCTACTCTCTCCTGGAGGGGGGCCGCCCTCGCCCCCCAAGAAATCGGCGAGACAACGGCCTACGTCTCAGTTCTCACCCTCACGCCCAGACGGCAGGACCACGACACCAACCTCACCTGCCGGGCGAGCTTCTCCAGAGAGGGCTCGAGCTTCTCCAGAGAGGGCCCGAGCTTCGAACGCAGCGTCCGGCTGAATGTGGCCTGTGAGTCCGGTGGGGGGCATCGTGGTGGCCAGCAGGCCCGGTGGGTGGGGAGGTGGGGACGTGGTGGCCCTGGGTGGCTCTGGGGGTGGGGTCCACGGAGCACGAAGGCGAATTCATTTGCCGCGCTCGGAACCCGCTGGGCGCCCTCAGCGTCTCGCTGAGCCTCTCTGTGCACTGTGAGTGGCAGATGGGGCACCTGGGGGCAGGACCCCGGGGTCCGGGGGGAGGACAGAGGCACCTCAGACCCGTCCCCTCGCTCCCCACAGACCCCCCGCAGCTGCTGGGACCCTCCTGCTCCTGGGAGGACCAGGCTCTGCACTGCAGCTGCTCCTCCAGGGACCCGATGGCGCCCTCCCTGCGCTGGCGGCTGGGGGCGGGGCTGCTGGAGGGGAACCATGGCAACGCGTCTCACGCGGTCACCTCCAGCTCAGAGGGGCCCTGGACCAACAGCTCCCTGCGCCTCAATGAGGGGCTCAGGGAGGGAGTCAGACTCAGCTGCGAGGCCCGGAATGTGCACGGGGCCCAGAGCGCCTCTGTCCTGCTGCTGCCAGGTCAGGGCCTGCTGGGGGCAGAGGCCATGGAGGAAGGAGTGGGTCAGAGAGAGGGTGGGGCTGGGGGTGGGGGCTGCGCTTGGACAGGGGGGATTGCTAGGACAGGACCTGCATCTCCTGAACAGAACCGACAGCGGGTTCTGGGAGGAGGGGGAAGAGGAGAGACTAGTCCTGGGAGTGGGTGGTGTCACCTGAGCTGGTGCTGGAGGAACAAGCCCTGAGCCCCTCCAGCCTCAGCACCAGGGCTCCTGGAGCTGCCCCATGTGGGGCTGGAGGCCGAGGGGAGTTCACCTGCCGGATCAGCACCCGCTGGGCTCCCAGCACGTCTCCTTCAGCCTCTCTGTGCAGAGTGAGGTGCAGGACAGGTGTGGGGCGGACGCCAGGTCAGGTGTTGGGCTGTGGGTGGACTGACACCTGGACAACACGTCACCCTTCTCCCGCGTCCCCAGGCAGCCCTCCCTGCAGATGTGTGACTGAGCAGCAGCAGGGCTCCTGGCCCCTGGTCTTCACCCTGATCAGAGGGGCCCTCATGGGGGCTGGCTTCCTCCTCACCTACGTCCTCACCTGGCTCTACTACACCAGGTGAGCAGGCCTGTCTCTCCCGGGGAAGGTCAGGGATTGGCCCTGAGGTCCAGGTGGGGCCGAGCTGTCAGGCTCTGCCTGGAGTTAGAGTGAAAGTGGCCGAGTCTCTGAGCCGACACCTGTGTGGGCCCCGCAGGTGTGGAGGCCCCCGGAACAGGAGGCAGAGCTCCTGATGGATCCTCCCTTCCTCTCAAGATGGGACTGAGGTGTGGACACCAGGCTAGAGGGACCGTCCTGGGATGTCAATGTCACCTTCTCCCTGGAAACTCTTTTTTAAAAGTTTTATTAAATCTTTATTGTTCAGATTATTACAGTTGTTCCTCTTTTTCCCCCCATAGCTTTTCTCCACTCGGTTCCCACCCCACCCTCTGCCCTTACCCTCCTCCCCTGCACTGTCCTCATCCATAGGTGCACGATTTTTGTCCAGTCTCATCCCGCACCCCCACACCCCTTCCCCCGCCCCGAAGAATACTCAGTCCACTTCCTTTTTATGCCCCTGATTGTATTATATTCACCAGTTTATTCTGTTCATTCGATTATTTATTCACTTGATTTTTAGATTCACTTGTTGATAGATGTGTATTTATTGTTCATAATTTGTATCTTTACCTTTTTCTTCTTCTTCCTCTTCTTAAAGGATACCTTTCAGCATTTCATATAATACTGGTTTGGTGGTGATAAACTCCTTTAACTTTTTCTTATCTGTGCAGCTCTTTATCTGACCTTCAATTTTGAATGATAGCTTTGCTGGGTACAGTAATCTTGGTTGTAGGTTTTTGCTATTCATCACTTTGAATATTTCTTGCCAGTCCCTTCTGGCCTGCATAGTTTCTGTTGAGAAATCAGCTGACAGTCGTATGGGTACTCCCTTGTAGGTAACTGAGTTTCTTTCTCTTGCTGCTTTTAAGATTCTCTCTTTGTCTTTTGCTCTTGGCATTTTAATTATGATGTGTCTTGGTGTGGTCCACTTTGGGTACCTTTTGTTTGGGGTTCTTTGTGCTTCCTGGACTTGTAAGTCTATTTCTTACACCATGTAGGGCAAGTTTTCTGTCATTATTTCTTCAAATAGGTTTTCAATATCTTGCTCTCTCTCTTCTTCTGGCACCTCTATAATTCGGATGTTGGTACGCTTGAAGTTGTCCCAGAGGCTCCCTACACTATCTTCATATTTTTGGATTCTTTTTTCTTTTTGTTTTTCCACTTGGGTGTTTTTTTCTTCTTTGTATTTCAAATCTTTGACTTGATTCTTGCAATACTCTAGTCTGCTGTTAGAACTCTGTATAATATTCAGAGTGAGGACCAGGGGCCAGTATTTATTTCAGTCAGTGTATGCTTAATTTCTAGTTGGTCCTTTTTCATAACCTCAAGGGTCTCACTAGATTTATTGAGGATCTCACTAAATTTATTGGCGGTCTCTAGAAAATGCTTGAAAAACCTTATAACCATGGTTTTGAACTCTATATCCAGTAGTTTGCTTTCCTCCATTTCTGTCATTTGTGACCTGTTTCTTTGTCTCTGCATTTTTTATGCTTCCCTGTGTTGATAGAGTGGTTTTGTGTGCTAGGTGTCCTATAGGGACCAGTGGCTCAGCCTCCCCAATTACCTGAGGTGGACACTCTTGGTGCACCCCTTTTGTGGGCTTTGTGCACAGTCTTGTTGTAGTTAAGCCTTGATTGTTGTAGGTATCACTGGGAGGAATTGACCTCCAGGCCAATTGGCTGTGAGAATCAGCTGTGTCTACAGTGGGAGAACTTCTGTGCTGGTGACACCCTTAGGGGCAAGACTTGCTTCAGTGGGGCTTTGATGCTCTCTGAGTCTGCCCCCTGTGTGTGTCCCTTATGGATCTGAAGAGTTGTAATCTGGATGGTCCTACCCTGACCACTGGGTACACTGGCTCTTGGATCTCTAAGGAGGTGCTAATTTAGCCTCTGCCTGAGGCTACCCAGCAGGAGCTATGGAGAGATCTGCAGATTCCTCTTCTTTGTTTGGGGTTTGTAGGTGCTCAGATGAGGCCCACCTGTGAAGCAATGCAATCTGCTGTGGGGCCTTGGGCCTTCTTTTGGATGTTCTGGGTCTCTCTGACCCAGCTGCAGTTTGTTAGGTAATTTTAGATTGCAAAGGGCCAGGTCATTCATACACAAGAGCCTCTGCGCACAGCTTGGGTGGGGTGGGGTCTCAGAGAATCAACAGGGAGGAGCAAACAGTTATGGCTGATCCTCAGCCCTGCTCTAAGAGCCCCTGGGTCTCAGTGTCCCAGTAATTGCTGCAAGCACCTCTGAGAGAAAGCTGCCCTCGAGTTCCCACTGATGCCAGACAGTCCAGTTTCTCCCTGTATGAGTCTGGGTCCCCAGGGAGTCGCCTGGAACTGGTATCAGGGCCATGGGGAGCTTGTGCCTCCCTCCTGATTGAAAAAGACAACCGCGTCCTCAGTTGTCAGCCCTTTCCACGTGCACCTCCATACCTCTGCACTTTACTTCTGCACCTCCTCGGCGTCTCAGTGTGCTTTTCTCTTTCCTTCGAGTTGTAGAATTTCCACACAGCCAGCCTACCTGTGGTTCTGGGTGATGTCCGTTTTGTCTTTTAGTTGTATTTTTGAAGTGGTTGTGCGAGGCAGCAATTTCGAGTGTTTACCTATGCCGCCATCTTTGTTTCTCTCCCTCCCTGGAAGCTCTTGACTCACCTGCCTCCAATGTGCCCCTGGGGTTTCAGTGTGTGGAAGTGATGGAGTGGTGCCAAGGGGAGTCAATGCCATGGAGAGAAGTCTTTTACTCCTTTCACCTCCTGAGAAGAGGGGACCCTATGCCTGGGGAAGCCCTGGATTTCCTCAGGAAGCAGATGCAGGTGCAGGGCAGCCTAGTGAAAGCCTTGATTGGGGTTCCCATGGGAAACGCAAGGCAGGGCAGGGTGTTCAGCTGGTGTGTATCAATTGGGGGAGGTGGACCTGTGGGCATGGTCTCTACTTGTCTGGTCCCAGGTTCTGGTGATTTGGGGCAGGTGGGGAGGCTGGGAATATGGACTCAGGATGGGTTGGTTTGCATCTGAAATCTTTGCTGTCTCTGAGAATGGGCGGGCCCTGGGAGGCCCTGTGTCTCCGTGAATTCCAACCTGTTTAATGGCTCAAAACATCATAAGATACAGAAATAAACAACAATACACACCCACTGACGGCCCCCGGGTTTCTGCTTGTGCTTCTTTCATTTGACTTGTTCCCCTCCCCCCTTTCTTTCTCTCTGTTGGTTCTGCCCACTCATCCCCCACCCCCTGCTCCTCTCTCTCCATTCTCAGGCCCAGAGACGGACTGAAGTTGGCACCTTATCCTCCCCTTGCCCAGGAGTTACCTGGTCACCACCTGAGCTTCTGGTCTCCCATCTGTAGGTGCTGATACACAGTAGAGTTAGGAGCCGCTCTCTTCTCCCTGTGCATAGACGCCACCCTCAGAATTATTGTCATAACACATCCCAGCATTTAATCATAAATGAGAACGTTTATGTGATATCACATGACCATTAATTTTACTATTTAGTGTCTGTGGGAGTTTCTTGAATCCAGTTATATCTGGATCTCCTCTTTTTGTTGTTGCTGTAGTTGAACCTGTTTCAAGTAAGGGATTTTGTTTATTCCTTGTAATTATTCTTCAATTGGTATTTATATCTCTTCTTATTTTTTAAAATATTTGTATTGATTTCTGAGAGGAATTGGGAGGGAGAGAGAGCGATAGAAATATCAACGTTGAGAGAGTCATTGATCGCCTGTTTCCTCCACATCCCCTACTGGGGATGAAGCCCCTCACCCAGGCAGGTGCCCTGACTGCGAGTAGAACCCTGACCTCTTGGTTCATAGATTGATGATCAACCCCTCAGCCACTCCGGCTGGACTATATCTATTCTTGAATAATAAACAATTTCAACATTTAAAACACATCCACCTATACTCTCATCATTTTGTATGGTTATTGCATATAGCTTACAGCTATAAATTTGATAAATTTTAGAGAACATTAATAATTACTTGGATGTAAACAATTATTTTATTTCCAGATTAATAGAGATATTTTTAATATAGAATGCATACAAGCTTAAGGTGTGCAATGTACATATTTGATGCACCTACATAGTGAAGTGATTACCACAATAAGGTTCATCAACACTTCCATCCTCTCATGTAATTACCATTGTTATGGTTATAACACTGATGATGTGTAACCATAACAACTTTCAGGTATGTAATACAATCCTGTTAATTGTACTTGCCACGCTGTCCAGTACATCCCCAAGAATTGTTCATCTTGTAGCTGAAAGTTACCCTTGACCAACATTTCCCCATTTCCCCACCCCCAGCCCCTGCATCACCATTCTACTCTCTTTCTGTGAGTTCAGCGTATTTAGACCCCACTGTGAGAACACACTGCAGGGAAACAATGACTATTTTGAAAAATACCCCTCACAGTTGTTCCTCTCATGCAGTCCTGGGTTTCCATCACAGTTCATTTTCCTCTATGCAAAAATGTATTAAAGACCTAAATATAATACCAACCACTATAAAACTCTCAGAGGGAAACATAGGGGGAAATACCAGCACATTGGATTTTGCAATGATTTCCTGCATATTTACATCAAAAGCACAGACAAGGAAAGCAAACAGAGACAAGTGGGACTGTACCAACTTCAAACCCTGAGCACAAGAGGACACTCTCACCAGACTCCAGACTCCAGGATGGGAGAGAATATGTATCTGTTAAGGAGTTAATATCCAGCATCTATTACAAACTCACACAAGACAACATAAGAAATCCAAATAACACAATTGAAGAAATGGCTAAAACCTTGACTAGTCGTTTCTCCAAAGATGATGGATAAATGGCCAATAAAGTCATGAAAAGAGATGCAACATCAGCAATCCTACAGAACCATAAAAGAACTCCTTAGGCCTGTGGGATTTTCACTTGGTGCATCAGGGCATTAATATTCCAAACCCCACATCAGATTCCTACACGGACAAGGAAGGTATGGGGAAGGCACATAGTAGGTCTGCAGTACAGTGCGGGAAGCCGGTCCATCCTTGCTGCTTGACACAGTCGCTGCAGGAAAGAAACATCTGCACAGCATATGTTTCAAGGGACCTGGCATATATTGCGTATTGTTCTTAATATGTTTGCTCTCCTTAGCGCCATGTG